ATTCTGCAGACTGTTGAGGGTTCAGCCTCCTGATGAGTCGGTGAAACTCCGACGAATCAGTTTGTCACAGCCCCTCGTTTGTTGTCCTCTTCTCTCTCTCTGCCTACGGTTTACCGGGCAGTTCTGTTTGTGACGATATATATATCGTCATATATATATATATATATATATATATATATTACGACTAGGAAGATTTTCATGATCGGCCGGTCACCCGGGCGTGACGCTCGGGATACCCAGGCATGGGGATTTTTTTTTCCAGAAAATTGGCAGTGGGGTTTTTCCGCGCTCTCCGAGAGAAGTCCAAATCCGGGCTCTTTTCTTTTTTTGAGTGTTGGCTGTCAAGGGGGGGGGAAACCCGAGCATTGTGCAATCTTCTTTGTTCTGATCTTGAGACAAAAGTGAAGCCCGAGTTTTGTTTCTTTGATACTGTTGAGCGTGCTGGTCTTCTAACAATTCAGTGCTCTGCGGAGCCTGTGCCTCTCTCTTTGAGATCTCCTCCCTCCATTGATTGCTCTGTTGAGTAGCGATTTTCGTTGAGAGGTTAGGCACTACCCCTTGGGTGAAGAGGTGTGTTGGTAAACGTGAGGCCAGTTGTTGTGTTTGTTGAGGTAGGGAGGTTGATCTTTGGGAGGTCTATCTCACTGCGTTTCTCGCTTTCCAAGCATAACCGTCTGAGGGTAGGAACTAGCATCTTTGGACAGCGTCGCGCCAGGCCTGGCGTAAGGAGACATGCCTAAAGACCTGAGGATGTTGTGGCGCATTGCACCTTGGTAAAAAAGTAATGTGTCTTGTCCTTTTGTCCGTTTCGATAACAATTTCAGCATCTCACCTGCCATTGAAAACTATTTGTGGAAAAAATTGAAGAGGCAGAGATTGAGAGATTGCGAGATGATGGTTGGGAGGGTACTAGAGGGTACTGGAGTGTATTGGAGGAAGGGCGAAGGGAAATGAGATGTTGTAACAGTAGTGGAAAAAATTCAGAAAAAGAGATGATATTACTGAGTGCAGAAGAGAGTGGGTGGAATAGATCGCTAGTGGATAAATAATAATTTTAAAATAAATTACAAGAGATAAATGATGAGAATAGTAGATGAGAATAGGATGAGATAGAAGGGATTATAACCACCTGTAGTGAGAGGAAAGAGAATGATCAAAGAATGATGAGAGAGAAGACTGAGTGCGGTGAACGATACAGCCGAAGGCGAGACAAAGAACACAGGATTCGAAAGAGGCAGGAGGAGAGCAGTGTGAAAAGAGGGTTCAATTATAGATGGAGAGGTGTGACAAAGAAAGTTTACACGGAGTGGAACCAAGAGAAGGGAAAAGGCAAGGTGAAAGTGCTGAGTTTATCACTATCCAACGGAAAATAGTCTTATTTCTTAGATGTATTAATTTCCGTTGTGCAGATTATCAATATTTTTTCTTCCTTTAATTCTTACTTCAAACAGCAGAGTCTAACTAGAGATAACCCAGCCCTCAGGAGGGAAAATGAGGGTGATGGAGCGGTAAAAGAGTGGAGGGAGACGGGGTCAAGGAATGAAGAGGCCGCACCATTTAAGAACTCATTTTACTTTTTGCGTCTTCCTTCCCTTCGAAACCGTGTATGTAGTGATCACACTCTCTCATCCGTGTATTCACACCTTCGTGGATTCACCCCTCCTTTTGCGTGTGTGAAGAGCTTGAATGTTACCACATTTTCCTTTCCCCTGAACGTGAACTTTGTGAGTGAGGCGCTCTTCTTCGTGCATAGAGTATTCACCACCAAGGGTAAAGCGAGCTGATGCTGATGGCCCAATTTAATGTCGCCCGATCGCGACCGCCCTCAATACTCCACAAGATCCCACATGTCAGAATCCTTGCCACTTTAGCATGTGGGCTGACTTCCTCTGCTACCTTAAGTAACTGCTCACTTGCCTGAAGTACTCCCTCTTCCAGGTACAGAAAATGTTGATGAGTCTGAATCAATACGGATGAACCACAACCTCCTTCGTATGAGTATCACTCTCACCTACCTCCATGTAGGGTTCATACGTGGCGCAGTCTTTGATCACACCCTCCTCCAATGTCAAGATGCAAGGAGAACTTAAATCCGTACCGATGATACCCGTGTGAGTATCACTCTCACTTACATTCCTGTAGCATTCATACGTAGCGCACTCTCTCCATACATAACTCATTCACTTCCAAGAATGTAGCATGACCGTGCCGATGAGACTAAAATAATGCTAGTGGATCACGCTCTCCTCCTA